ACTAATATACCTACCTTTGTGCAATTTCTTTAGAGAAATGCATTTCTCTTCTTGTTCTTTCTCCAAGTAATTAAATTGTAATCCAATGGTACTAGTCTCTTTGATTTGACTCCATTGCTCCCTCTCCTTCATTAGTTTGGCAGTATACAATTCATTATCAGCAACTTTACTTTTCAGTTCTAAATATTCTCTCATATAATATACACATTGATGACAATACTCTAACCTTTAGTGATCTCTTTCTCCTTGAGATACTGTTCCTCTACTTTGTCCTTCTCTTCCTCTACTTGTTTCTTCTCTTCTTCTATTTCAGTTATATATACTTCATAATCATCAAGTTTAGCTTTCAGTTTCTCATTATCTTCTACATTAATAGACTCATCTAATATTATGTACTGATAATACACTAACCAGTAATAATCTGTTTCTCTTCTTGTAACTGTGCCTGTGCTTTTAACACCTCTTCCAATTTCTCACTCTTGACAGTTTCGCTATCATCAACTTTAGCTGAAAAGATAACAAAAAATGATCATACATGTATACATGTACACGTACAGTATAATGTGTATAAAAATCAGTTCACTGTATGCATGTACAGTGTACATTATGTATTCAGTATTTATATCAAAATTTTAACAATGGGTGATTTGTTGTACTGCAAAATTTCAGAATCAGCTCATTTTAAAAATAGCCAAAATTCAAGAATTTTTTGTCCAAAAATTGTCTCAAACTTTCTACATAGCAAAAGGACGTCAATATGCATCAGAAAATGTAATAAAAATTGGGTGTGATTTTTAGCCATTTTTTGGAAACCATGGGCTGTAGTACAGGGTAATTTGCAGATGGTCAAAGGTTTGTCAAAATTTTAATGGAAAGCATTCTGCCAGAATTCTACACTCCAAATTTCTATAACTATGCATACATTACATCACATTAGTTATGTAAACTAATATTATGTAAACCATTAGTCCATTACATGATATTACATAACATACATTACATTAAAATTCACATCATACATGTACATGTACCTTGTTTATTGGCCTCAGTCAGTGCCTCCTGTAGTGATACTTTGTTCTGATCAGCCACTTGTAGTTCTTGATGTAAAGACTGGATGTATCTCTGAAGCTTCATTTCCTTCTCTGTCGGATATTCTATTAGCTGATCCATCCACCATGTTCTGGTCTTGCTGTATGATGAATACTTTTCTTGATATTTCTTACTAGTGAGATCATTAGCATCCAGTACTGACTGTACTATCCACTCACCAGCTTCAATATATACTGAAATAAGGAACAATAATATTATTAATAAATTAAAAAGAAGTTCTTCATTATAATTTTTTAATAATTATTATTTTACCTAATTCAATTATCATTATACGTCTATTAGTATCAATGATAAATGTATGCATCGGCTCCTTCACTCCTCCTCCAACATCTTTTAATCTAAACTTTTCACGTCCTCCAACAATTACTAGCCACACACAGTGTGGTGACATTGTGACTGCTGTGAGTGAGTGATTGTATCTACCAGTAACTGATTCAGGTAGAGGAATCTGTAGACAATGAGAAATAATATTGATGTACCGTACAAGATGATTTATTGGCGAGGAATTAATATTGGCAATTGGTAGCTCTATGAAGAAATCACTAATATAAAATCCGCCATTTTGTTTCAATCTGAGCATGCTCAATGGCACGTGGCACGAAACCACCAATATAAAATTCACCAATTTCTTTCCACAGGCAAATTTGCCAAATATTATTCCCGCCAATAAATCATCTTGTACGGTACATGGATTTTATATGAAATGTATATACATAATACATTTAAATATACATACGTGTACAGTGTACACATACCTTCTTACAACTGAACTGACCAGTAGTGATATTATCAAATAATAAACATTCATTCACTAGTTGATTGTTATTATCCCGTCCCCCAATCACTACTAGTGCAGGTGAGGTAGAGTCACCATTGATAATAGCACTAGCATGAGTATATCTCTCCTTAGTCCAGAGTCCCTCACCAGATATTGATTCTTTTTTAATACTCTCCCAATGCTAAATAGAAAAAAACATAAACATACATGTACATGTAACTCCGTAAATATAGAAAATTTTCAAGGTAATAAATTTTCACTAGTTGCTTTATTTTGTAAATTTCGCATGGACAAAATTTCGCAGATAATCATCAGAAGGCATCGTCAGTAAGGTCACATGATGTAATAATTACTGCATGTGGACTCACTCCCCATTTTCTACTTTACTCTGAATCTTTAGTAACATTTAGTCATTAACAACTATAACTGGACGTGTGGGCTTTCTGTTCATAAAGGGTTAAGATATTAATTTTCGCAGTTAGCTGGTACCCGCAAAAACAGCGAAAATTAATACACTTCAAAAATTTCTCCCTTAAGGTAACTTAAGAAATGATTAAGAAATGAGTAACGGTAAGAAATGATTTACACATACATGTAGATTAATCTATCATGCTATATAATAACTCACTATTGTATTATGTGTCACATTAAATATGTACACATTATTAGTAGCTATAGTAAGACCATTATGAATAGTTACTGTTCCTCCTAACATTATTCCTTTATTTTGATTTATTTTGTTGATTGTAAAGTTATCAGTTGGTGGACAACACTGTCCACTGACAGATGGAACAGTGAATTGTCCTAAAATACAATAAATATTAATAATTAATAATGTCATCAACTGTCACATCTCAAGACATATTCACACAATTGATAAAAAGACACTCACCATTAGATAGATTATAAAGTAACTGTTCATTAGTAAGAACACGTCCATCCTTAATCTGATCATATTGAAACTGAGGATGTTTGACAGCTGGTGTAGGACCTGCCCCTCCGACAA